TTGCAAACACCATAGGTTTTCGGCGGCTAACTGGATAGACCGGCGTTTTCTACGGCCGGTACACTGCCGATAATTAACCAGCGATCGTTGGCAATTTGACCGTCAAAATTTACCAGCAGTTTGTGCCGTCAAAAAACCACCCATAAGTTTAACCGCCGAAAAATGACTGTCGTAAATCGTTTCCTACGTTTTTTATTCCGACAGTTTTAAAAATGCCGAAAAACAAAAATTTCCAATCCGCTGTAAAACTTATCTCAACTGCCGGAAATGGCAGTCAGTAATTGATCGTTTTCTTGTAATGACAGTGCTAAACACCTTTTATGTGTTTTCCTATAAATAGAATTTATATTCTATTTTTTAGGAGTTCAAACACTTCTGTAAAATTTAGCACTTTTCAATGTGCTTCTCTAGCACTATATTAGAGTGAAATTAAATAGTGACTAGGGAAGTAGATACTACAATCTATTTGAGTGTTTAGCCTATATTTATGGAAGCAATTCTGTAAGTAAAGAAAGACGTTGTGTAGAGAAGATACTTTGATTATACCTTATGATAAAATTCCACTATTTCTCTTATATTTTGATTCTTCTATAAATATAATGAAAATGAGTATGTTTGTTATTTGTTCTATGTCTGGCTAGATCTTTTATTTTGGATTGATGATGTAAAGAGCATATTGAGTACTAATGAAGACTCTTGTACTTTAAAGATTTAATGATGTTTGTAATTATCTTATGTTCTTCATTTAATGCACATAGTAGTCATGTGTGTAGTTAAAATTTAGTATGATGTATAACCTTGACAAAGGAATATAAGAATAATCAAGAATATTAAGATAGAATGTTAGCATGACTAGACATTGGACATTTGAATATTCTAAATTCTAAAGGAGATATTATAAATGTAGGAGGTTAGCATATATCATATTCACCCATATAAGCTCAATAGAGATCTAAAGATACACATGTTTTGAATCAAATCTATAATTAAGAGCCTCTTTAGAAAAAAAATATGATATTTTACATTCATTAATCCAAAATATTTTATAAAATATTGTACCAACTATTCTACTATTTTAGTGAAAGAAACTCCAAAAAAATATCATTTTTATTTCAGTAGAATAACTTATGCATTTAGAGTAAGCAGTGGTAGTTTTTGTTACAAGTAAGCATAACACTTCCTTGTGGGTTCGACACTTAACTTCATCACTTTATTACTTGATTCAGCATGTATACTTGCGCATATTTAAGCGGGCTTCTATATTGATATATCAAAGAAAACCAAAGTATTACTCAACATTGACAAAACAAGCATTTATTACACAGTCTGTAATAAAATCGTGCTTGCCTACACGCATAAAGTCCACCCCATCAACCCCCCAATACCAATTCATTTAATAAAAACTTAAATTTTAAATTCAATAAGGTAACTTATACAAAATTTAACATGTTTATGCTTTGGAAACTTTAATGGAAATATTACTACTTGGCTTTATACATAATGTTTACCCTTGTGACTTCTACGTAAATATGTTCATAAGATTATCGAAATATGCCTATTATCAAAGCCATTACTTCTACTTTTACAGATGGGTCACTTTACAAAGGTGTTAAGCATAATAGAATGTACTTGCCATCAGAATATTTCTTTCACTTGAATTTATTTAAATTATCAAAACATGCAATGCTTATGCATGTCCCAATGTCTAGTTATAACTTCACTTTCATTTATAACACCCTTTAAATTACTGTCTTAAGGTAAAAGAGTCAGAATAGAGCAGAAACCTCCTGCATCCACACAAAATAGATAGGGTCAAAACAAAATAGCTACCCCCCACATCCATATTGGGAAGATGGAGGTAGAACAGAACATATATAATCATTGTAATATATCATAGAATGCACTTGTAATATTTTTTAGATCATAACTCCTCCAATGTCATATCATGAATTGTACAATTTAAATGTAACAACAAAAAATTATGACTTTAAATAAGAATATGATTATACACGAAATACCATAATTATAAATGTACAGTAATATTTTAAGTATAAAATCTTATACACTTAACATTTTCTTTCTCAATTAATCTCATAGAGAACTTAAAACAATATTTTAGGACTTTTAGAGAACTATAAAAAATAACATAAATGCCTCGTTTATTTAATATGCATAAAAATCATCACAAAAAAGGTGAAAATTCAACTTCTTATACCCAAAGTATTCATGATAAAGTAGTCAACAATATATAAAAAGGTACAAGGTGAAAACATATCGTAAAATCTAAAAAAAAAAACATATTTTTGTCTATATCGAGTTAAAAATTTATTGGAATTGAAATCAGAGATAGATGTTCAGAATTCTACCTCGTGCTCGACAAAACCCTCAACTGATCTGACGGATGAATTTAGCTTTGCGGCCTCCGAAATTCTCTCACTTCCTTCCTATCTATTTTCTCTTCTCTTTTCTCCACCAACAACTAAAAGGGGAGGGGTGTTGTTATAATCGGACAGAACCGGTCCAATTTTTCTCGCGCACGCGAATCGACCCCCTTCCACTCCACCAGAATCACGACCAACCACACAACAGCTATTGTTTTGCGCATTGTTCCACTCTCCGATTGTGTAAATTATGTGATTTCTCCACCACTTGAAATCCTCCCGCCCTTTCCCCGTTTTGCTTGTCATTTAAGGCGAAGAAGGAAACATAGGCATTATTCTAAATATTCCCTTGCTTCTCTCGCAGTCACCGAAAGCCCTCTTCCCTCTCGCAATTGCCAAACCAAAAATCAACAATCATCTTCTTCAAAATCTTCTTCTTCTTCTTCAATAGTAAGCTCCTTCATTATCTCTTCTTTCTTCCCTCTCTTTTATTTTCTTCTTGATGTTTATCAAATTACATAATCATGTTTTCTTCCATCGTTTAAGTACTTTTGTTGGGGGCAATTTTATAGTTGAATTTGCTTTGGGTGGAAGCTTTATTTATATTTGATTTTCGAATTGCTATATTATCATTTAGGCTTGATTAAGGATATTCAATATATTCCTATATAGATATATTTAAGCTCGGGTTTGTAAACCTTATCTTTCAATTCAATAAGATTCTTATTTGTAGAACCTTCAAGTCGTGGCCCTCATAGTGCTGTCAATTGATTATCTTGTAGGCTTGAAACTTTGTGTCACTCTCCTAGAGGTAAATAATTGTTATTAATTTGGGTGTAAACGTACCATCCTTTGTTAGGGGCTTAATTCATAATATCTGTATTATGTTCTCTATTTAGATTATATTTTCTATATTAAATTCTGCTACATGATCACACATGTAGTAAATCTTTGTTATTAAGTCATAATGAATCAACATGTGATAGAATTAACCTTACATTGATTTATTGTCCAATAAGTATTATTCATATAAGTTAAATTCATGTATTGGAGAATTTAAATTCATATATATTTAGTTTTGCTAAATAAAATGAATCTCATTCTTGTAAGTCATAATAATTACAAATCGTATTTGACATGTTGATTTATATAATGTCTATTGGTTCTCATAAAAACACTTGCATTGCATAATTGTATGTATGTCGGTAGAATTTTATTGATTTTTGACTAGCCATGGTCGATAGTCTCCCAGAGTGACAACTCTATAGGAAATTATTGAATTTTCTTGGGTTGGTGTTTAACTTCTCGATGATGGGTATATGATAAACCGATAATAAATATATGTGTAAATGTAACAAAATATAAGTAGATATTAATCGGAAATAATAAATGACTGATAAAATATTTTGAGATATGATGATACATGGTCTGATTGCACTTATGAGCATTAAAATAAATTGCATTGATAGTAGTTTGGTGTATATATTAAGGGCATTAACATATTAGATTTATGTTGTAAGAAATATGGCATGTGTCACTACTATTTTATTTTGGTGACTTTATGTTGTACTTTCACCCTTTGGTTCTTAATACAGCATGCCACACTCATTTGCCAATTATATTTTGCTAAATAGGAGCTACTTGCTAGGTATGATTTATTAAACTCACCCATTGTATCTTTTTGCAATAGGTCCTACATGTGTATTTAGTATACCGTCACCTCAGGAGCAGAATTATCAGCAGTAGTTTATTTATTTTTGGTATTTCATATTTTGTAATAGTTTATTTTACTTTTGAGGGTTGGGTAGTTTCCTTTTTGTTTTTTATTATATTCTTGTTGACTTCTATCTAAACTATTGTTATTCAGATGCACTAGTTATTTGCTTTTTATTAATAAATTGGCTTTTTAATTCACTTCGCTTGTTTGCTCCTGTGTGTGTAATATTGTATCACTTGTATAATTGTGAATACAAAACATGTTTTTTCTATCCCTTCATTGTGTTCCTTATTGCCAAGGTGTACCGCCTTCCTAACCCGGGGTGTGACAAGTGTTGAGTGAGGTGAGGGAAATGGGTTTAGATATTTATATGTAAAAACAGTGCTCATTTCCATAGCACTGCAGTGCTCCATTGAATATGCCTGGTGCTTTCAGATTCCTCTAACCTGAGAACTCGTTGCTGCGAACAATCCCTCAAATCCTCTTCCCAAACAAAGAGGACAAAGCTGCAACGCCACCGTTTCCAGCACATCGGTGCTTGGAAGAGTCTTTTTTTCCTTTTGATTTTCTCCTTTCCATTTCCATTTCTAATCTTATTTGATATTAATTAAACACAACAAAGCTTATAACTCTATGACTAAATCAGAATTAAGATTGATTTTGATATTTTTTTTGCCAGTATGATTTCTATTAAGGGTGGAATATTTCCACATTACTCTATCAGAAAGAAACAACTATTCCACAAGCAAATTTGATGCTCTACTTCAGCTAAAAGAAAAGTATACAAACTTATTCATTATATAATCCCACTAAACCTCCTCTAAAAGAAAGAAAGTGGCCTTACAACCCTAGGGAAGAAAGGAAGGCAGCATAATCAACAATAAACTACATCAGACTTATCCATGAGTAATCAAATCTCATCAGACCAAGATGTCTATTGGGCACTACAGGAAATTATGTCTGGTAAGATGAACCTTCAAAACATTTCCTTCTACAATTCTGATTCTGCTTCCAGCTCTCATCAAGAAACAGAAAATTCCATAAGCATCAACATCTCCACAAAGGGCAACAGCATTCAGGAGTTCTGCCAGATTTTAACGATACTCTTAGCACAGGAGAGCAGATTTACTCCTACAAACTTGGCTTTTTATTGTATAAGTTGGGAGATGAAGGCACTTCAAACTTTTACTTCATTACTCGATAACAACTCAAGCATCAAACATGTTGAATTCCAAAAGAACATCTTCACCGCCCAGGGCATGTTTGAGCTTTCAGATATGCTAGGAAGAAACAAAAGAATTAGGAGTATTATATTCTCAGAGTGCCAGATTGAGTCTACAGGAGCTAGCTTATTAGCTTCTGCTTTGATGAAAAATGATACTCTGGAAGAACTACAGATATGGGAGGACTCTATTGGTTCAGATGGTGCTGAAGAACTATCAAGAATGATCGAGGCAAACTCAACACTAAAGCTCCTATTGATACTTGATAAGCATTTCATTACTGCAACCCCTCTGATCTCAGCTGTACTGGCGCGGAATCGCAGCATGGAAGTTCATGTTTGGACCAGAGATGGAACTGACAAGAATCTTAAAATAGTTGAGTTTACACCTGAGACAAGCATGCTGAGAATTTACAAACTGAACACTTCAGGTTCTCAGAGGATAGCCTGTGCACTAGGTTTGAATACAACAGTAAAGACCCTAGATATGACTGGTATCAAGCTGAAATCAAACTGGGCTAAGGAATTTAGACAGGTTCTGGAGCAAAATAGAAGCCTCAAAGAAGTTAAATTATCAAGAAGCAGCCTTGGAGACAAGGCGATTGTGTACATAGCAGCTGGGTTATTCAAGAACAAGTCTTTGGAAAAGTTGGCACTGGATGGAAACAGATTCAGCGGGGTTGGAGTGGAGCATCTATTGTGCCCCTTAAGTAGGTTCTCTGCTTTGCAAAATCAAGCAAACACTACACTGAAATCTGTGACATTTGGGGGAGGGGAGACCAGGATAGGCAGAGGAGGTGTCATTGCAATCTTGCGTATGTTGGACACAAACCAAACCATTAACCAACTTAGCATAAATGACGACACAAGCATGAAAGCTGAAGATGTAGTGAGAATTTTCAAGAGCTTAGAGAAGAATCCTACTTTGAGATTTCTGTCACTAAGAGGATGCAAAGGGGTAAATGGAGAGTTGGTGTTGCAAACGATAATGGGAACTCTTCAAGTAAATCCATGGATAGAGGAGATTGATCTCACAGGAACTCCTTTGCAAATTGCAGGGAAGACTGATGTAATTTATGATAAATTGCGCAAAAATGGAAGTCTTGTTCCAGAGAATGAATTGCTTGCTGATATGCCATTGACCACGCCAAAATGCTGCAGAGCATTTTTCTGTGGACAAGACTTTGCAGGTATACTCTTAAACTAGTAAATGAGTGCTAATTCTACTTAAAACAACACAAGACATCAGACTGCCTCACTAATTAATAACATATAATAGGAAAAAAATTGATACGTCACACAAATTTATCTTGATCGGGCACGAATCTCAAGACAAAAAGATAGTTGGAAACTTCAAAGATTAAATTCAGGAGCATATGAACTCCGATTTCAGCGAGCTTATAGTCAAACTGAGCGTCTCGGAAACACGAACCCAATGACACGAAATTCAACCCAATCCGAGCCCAAATGGGTCCAAATCAAGGACCCGAAGCGCTGTTGGAAGGTTCAAACCACAATTTGAGTTGCCAAACGGTCTCCGATTTTAACGAGCTTATACTCGAACCGAACGGCTCGACGAGACGAATCCAACGAGCCCAAGATTACTGAATTCCGACATCACTAAGATCTTTAAATGTCCAACGAACGGTGCATGATCGAAGGGTTCAATAGCGGCCGTCCATTCGACCACTCCCTATTCGTCCCTGATCTCACACCTATTTACGGGCTATGCCACTCCAGAAAAACTATAAATAGATCACTCATTTCTCATGAGGGGGGAGGGAAGCAAGAAGAAGAAGTGAAGAAGAAGAAGAGAATGGGAAGGAGAATCAGCTCCTCCTCGACTACCGTCGGAGTTCTTCCTACCGCCCGAACACGCCAGGATTCTGCCGGATATTCGGGAGAACGCCGGAATTCTACCCGACTTCCACGGGACGCCAGAATTCTGCCCAAGTTCCACGGGATTCTGAAATTCTTCCCAATTAACGACAGAGTTCCCTCCTAACGTTGAAACTCCGCTCAAATGATGCCGGAGTTCTCCTCAGCCACCAATAGACGTCGGACTTCTACCCGACGTCGGACCTTCACTCTTTGTCAAGTTTCTACCCGACGCCGGACTTCTACCGGTTATCGGACTTCGTTGGACGTCTATGCAAAGATGGATTTCTTTCCTTTGTTGGACTTCTACCTGACGTCGTCCTTCTAATCTTCGTCGTCAGACAACAGTTCTTCTGACCTCCGTCGCCAGCCGACTACGGTCCTCCTGACTTATGTCGCCCTCCGACTACAATCCTTCCGACCTCCGTCGCCAGCCGACTACGGTCCTCCTGACTTACGTCACCCACCGACTACAAGCATTCCGACCTCCGTCGCCCATCGACTACGGTCCTTCCGACCAAACGAACACGTCAACAATGACTCTTTGTATTAACATCATGTAAGGTACTCCATAAGATGTACATCAAGCTAAGGCCTTCCCCCAAGGAAGGACCTCATTTATAATCAACTACAATACTAGTGAATTCATTCAAACTGGATTAGGCCTCGTGGTTTTTTCCCCTTTTCAGGGGCTTTCCACGTAAAAATCTTGGTGCCTCATAAATACTAGACCCTCTCTCTTTATCTGATTGCGTGCCGGATTTTCGTACAACGCTAAGACGTTAAATCTTATATTTCTCTACCGCCGCAAATACCGCCTCGAATACTCCTGGATGCAACAAAAATTATAGGAAACACTTGTAGATCGCAAGTATTTCCTATCAATATTCCAAAAACAGCGAGAATTCTTCACAAAAATCCGCACAAAATCACAAAAACATTAGATAATTTGTATTACTTGATGAAAGCGAAACGGAAAATAGCACGATACGCTGGATCCCGCCTTTGTTGTGAAACGCCGGTCCCATGCGGACCGGCTGGACTGGTCCAATGGACCAGTCTAACAAAAAACTTACTGTCATTTCCATGCTACATTTACAAAATTGTTATTGTTGTTTATCCTCAAGTTTCAATAATTGAATCCAAGATTTGGGCAAACTGAAACATGAAATATGTATGGGTGCAGGAAAAAGCACACTGTGTAGCTCCATAAATCATAATTTTAGTTCTATCAAATTGCCTTACATGGATCAGATCAGAACATTAGTCAATCCAATTGAACAGATCGCAAGAACAGCAGAGGTTAAGATAAAAATCATCAATGATGGTGACACAAAAATCTCAATTTGGAACCTTGCTGGCCAACATGAAAATTTTGCATTACACGATATCATGTTTCCAGGCCATGGGAGCCCCTCACTGTTTTTTATAATTTCCAGCTTGTTCAGGAGGCCGGCAAACAGAGAACCCAAAAACCAAGAAGAGATTGAAGATGACCTGTCATACTGGCTGAGATTTATAGTTTCAAACTCGAGAAGAGCAATATCACAATCAATGCCACCTCACATTACCATAGTTCTTACCCACTCGGACAAAGTTTCACATCCATCAGAAGACTTGCAGCCCATTATTAATCTGATTCAAAAACTAAAGGATATGTTTGAAGGGTTTGTGGAACTGTATCCCATGGTATTCATGGTAGATGCAAGATCATCTGTGTCTGTAAGCAAGCTCACACATCACCTGAGAAAGACGAGCATGACAATTCTTCAAAGAGTTCCACAAGTGTATCAAATATGCAATGACATGATAAAGATCTTATCAACCTGGAGATCAGAAAACTACAACAAACCAGCCATGAAATGGAATGAGTTCTGTGAGTTATGCCAGCTTAAGCTTCCCTCTCTCCGAATCCGATCAAGGTGGGATGACATGGAAAAGATAGAGAAAAAAAGACAAGCAGTAGCGAGTACATTGCATCACGTAGGTGAAGTAATCTTCTTTCAAGAGCTTGGATATCTAATATTAGACTGTCCGTGGTTCTTCGGCAAAGTACTTGGTCAGCTCACAAAGTTAGACTCAGGAAATCTTAATACAACTGACAAGCTTGGGTTCTTTAGCTGGTTGGAACTGGAGAAGATACTAAGAGGGAGCTTGCAAAGTCAAATTCCTGGGATTGGTTCAAAAGTATTTGACAATTTGGAAGCTGGTGATTTAATGAGGATGATGTTAAAACTTGAGTTATGCTATGAAAAAGATCCAAGCAACCCCAAGACCCTTCTCTTAATTCCATCACTTCTCAAAGAAAGCCAAGGAAGAAGATTGCCAACATGGCAGCCAAGCACAACAGAATGCAATTATGTTGGAAGGCGTCTGGAATGTCATGAAGCCAGACAGATGTTTCTAACGACAGGATTCTTCCCAAGGCTTCAGGTACACTATTGGGAACTCTAGTAGTATGCAATCAAAATCATATATGTTCATGGTCAGAGCCCGTATGTTCCCTAACAACGCTAAATCTTTTAATAATGAATCAATAGGATATGACCAAAAGGATACAAAGCCCTCTGTAAGCTAAGGTGGACTCAAATATATTTCCTTAGACAAATATTCACGCCATGTCTACAAAGTACAATTAGCTGAAGCAATCAATGGCTATTGACAAGTATCCTTCAGTCAAGTTGGTCGACTACCTCCTCTAATTAAGTAGACTAGGGACCATGATGGCCCTGGACGACAAAATCATGGGATTTTGATTAGGTCTATCGTCATTCCTCCCACCATCCGTTTTAAGTGCAACATTGTGCATTTCTAATTTTCTATGTTGCACCGATATGGATACTGCGACACGGATACGACACGATACGGATACATGACACGTCAATTCTTAAAAATACAGGATACGGGTACGGCACAGACACGGCATCATAATTTATAAATCATACATAAAAATTAAGAAAACAATCAAAGCATAATATTTGAAATTACAATACGACACTTTTTTTTGGATTTCTTTTTGTTTTTCAACAGACACGTGTATTGGATACGCGTGTCCTTTTGAAATTAAATAGTATTTTAATTGGATACAGCACACCTTCATAAATAGGTGTATCGGTGCAACATAGCTAATTTTAAATGTTAAATTTTAAAAACCTAAACATTTTGCTATCGTATACTTCATAGTTGTTTGACGACTAGCCTTAATCGAAAGTTCTCTCTCGCTATTGGAAGGGGTAATTAACCATAGGGGCTTGCCACTATGGGAATCATGAACTCAGATCATAAAATCCTCGCAAGATAAGGGTGAAATCTCTAGGTAATGTCATATTCAAAACCCAATTTGCTTTCTGAAAATTTTTCTCGGAACCCATTTGTTAAAACTCTCCTTGACGACCCGAGAAAAAAAGAAAGGAACCGTAGAGAGTCCAAGGCGCGAATTTTTGGAGCCCATAACTCACTGCGGAGATCATTATAAACTCTCACACAAATCTTCATTGTAAAAAATTAATCCACTTTAAGTAGCAGAATTAACTTGTAATCAGTTTATTTAATCAATGAGACCATTCTAACTCTACTAGGTGACACTGTGTATATTTTATCTCAGCCGTTGTATAAATGGACTTAGATCTTCGGGCTTAACCACTATAAATATATCTCTCTCCTCCGTTGTTTTCCCTTTCTCTCTCCTCAGACTAATTGCAATATAAAATTTTTCTTCTCATTAAAACTCCCGAACGTATAAGTTCGTCTCGACTCACTCTTGGAAAAGAGTTCACCATTACCATCCTCGATTCTTCTGTTCACTCCCCCACGATCACTTCAGATGGTCCAGTCGAAAAGTCCCATCCCACTATTATCCAGGTTCAGATTCAGTAAAACGGAGATAAGGATAGGATTACGATTATTATTGTATTTATCACATTGCCATTTGCATTTGTAACTCTTATAGCATCGATGGCAGGTACTGAATGAGTAGGAAAAACCGAAGTGCTTTCAATTGGGAAGGTCTCTTGCACTCTATTTACTATGCTTCCATCACTTAACACTTTCACAGTAACTTCAAAGCATTGTTACATCATGGCTTAATTTTTATTATAGTATGCCCAAAAAAAGCCAGCTTCCATTGACATGAATAACAACCGAAGGCTACAACTTAAGAAATCAAGATAGATGGATCTGTGCAGGTAGAAATGAACTAGCCATTCTAATAATTTTTTAAGTTGCATAGCCACTTGTAAACTGAGGCAAACGTTCAAGGAAAGTTATTGTTAATAAATGATGCGTTCATTCCTTGTGTGCTCAATTTTTTATTCAAGACCAATATCACCCAGCTTTAATCAAACTGCAGGTTCATCTCCATAACAAAATTTTTAAACAAAATGAGCGAAAGGGAGCAACATACGCTCTAGAGAAATACCTCATCTCCATAATCATTAATGGGATCCAGATCAGGGTAGAGTTTGGAGGACAAAGCAGCAACTATGTTGATGTTCTTGCATGCTCGAATAAGACTGTCACTGAAGTTCTTAGACTCTTGAGCCAGCTCATCAGGCCAACAATTCAGAGTATATGCCCTGGAACTTCTTTGTCCGAATATGCGATTAGACCAGACTGTGTTAGGTTTCTTATACCGCCAACATTCAGAAGAACCCAACTAGTGTCATTGCCCGCACTTAAAGAAGCACTGCTCTCCACACCTGCTGATGGCATTTATGATTACCAGCATACTTGGAGTTCAATACACAATGGGAATAGGTTGCTTCTGCATTCAGGTTTTGATTATGCAAGAAATCTTCTTGCAGATGACGAGTTCCGTGAAGTATTGGGCCGAAGATATAATGATCTGCACCATCTTGCTGCTGAGCTGACAGTTTCATTTGAGCACAGGAAGGAGCCACAAACACTGGCTGGAAATGATGGTGAACAGACCATTGAACCTTCACTTTTAGGCATAGCAAAAGGAGTAGAACTAGTTCTGCAGAGATTGAAGAGCATGGAGCAGGAAATCAAAGACCTAAAACAGGAGATTCAAGGAATGAGATATTATGAACATTGTCTTCTAGTTGAGCTCAACAGGAAAGTAGATTACCTTGTGAACTATAACATTCAGCTGGAAGAACGGAAGGTACCAAACATGTTCTACTTTGTGCAAGTGGAAAATTACTCAAGGAGGTTGGTTACAAGAATAATTTCTGGCATGAAAGCACTGCGGCTGCACATGCTCTGCGAATACCGAAGGGAGATGCATGTTGTTGAAGAGCAAGTAGGATGTGAACTTCTGCAGGTAGACAATGAAGCAGTTAAGTGTCTACTGCCCTACATGAGCAAATTCATGAAGCTGTTAACCTTTGCGCTAAAGATAGGAGCACATTTTGTGGCAGGAATGGGAGAGATGATACCTGATTTGGGGAGGGAAGTCGCTCATCTAATAGATTCTTCTCTAGTTTATGGGTCAGCAGCAATGGCTGCAGGAGCCATTGGTGCAGCAGCAATTGGACAAATAGGAGTAAGGAGAAAAAATGCATATCCCGGCAGGAGGTACTCAAGGAATCCTGGACAAGAAATTGGAGATGCTCAGCAATGGCTACTTGATTTCTTGAAGGGTCAAGGGATTTCAACTGGAAAAGATATAGCTGACAGGTTTGGCTTGTGGCGGGTGAGGTATTTGGATAATGGAGACATTGCATGGATATGTCAAAGGCATAAAGAAACAAGAAGGAAAGAAATCACTGAACTACCTATCTAACAAATAAGCATTTAGACATACATGTGTAATGTTGGACTAGAACCTAAATGGGTGCCTTGACCCCTAAAAGAAACTTTTAGTTAACAATATTGTACTATTAAATCCAACTCTAAATTCTTGGCTTCATATGATGTCATCATTTGATTTTTCTAGAAAGCCTTTTTATCTAAAGGAAACATCGATAATAATATATTCCATATATATAAGGTGTATCTGGGTTGATCTTCTTTAATATTCATTTGCAAGCACAAGTATTCTTTTTAAAAACATCTCAAAGTGAGTAGCCAACAAGTATGATCATATAAGCAGTGCAGCATACAAATCAAGTTACCACTTAGAAGTACTTGCAAACGACTCATAAGAAAATAATGCTAAAAAGAAAAGAAAAAAAAAAAAAGAAGGGAATCATAGCCTAGTCGGGATGAAAAGATAATGCTACGATCCCTCTTTTGTTACTCAATAATGACAGTTCAATCGACATCCCTACATAGTATATGCGAGCATATATGATTTTTTTGCCATGAAGACAATTTAAAAAAGAGGGAAAGGAAAACAACCATGATAAACCACTTATAATTGACAAATGCAACCCAGCGTGCATCATTTTTTCCATCAGTTGTAATATGAATGATATATCATGCACTTTTTTTTTTCTCCAGCAACTTATTTTTTGCCAGAAATTTTCAATGATCTCGGATGCACGCCCCAGCACTACAGAAAGCTAAAAATAGCAATTTTGACTGGTACAGAATAATCTTACATTTGTTTGGGTTAGAAATTACATTGCTTTGGCACTTAAAATATATTTTGCTGAAGGCAGCATACTCTTGCCATTCCATTACTAAGAAAAATAACAAATAAGTAGTTCATCCATAATAACTTCAAAATTAATGGTTCTTCAATTACAATAATTGCAAGCTTCAGTTGTATTCAGAAACCAAAAGAGATCTAAATGCATAAAAACCATAATCTTTCATTCAACTTGTATCCAAACAGTCACAAAATCCTGAAACCATTTGTGGTTAGGAAAGCTACCAAGAAGAAAGAGTGCATGTAGAAGTTGGGAAACAAAACCTTTGAGTTCACATAGCTAATGCAGCAGGAACTGAACAAACTAACAAGCTTTTATGAGCCACTAAGTTAAATGAAAAAGAAAGAGCAAAAAGTAAAACCAATAATTATTCATCAGCCAAGCAATTCGAGGACATACATAACAGGCAAGAAAAGCCTATGATAATTAAAATCTATTACGATGTTCTGCCAACTTCCTCCAGGATCATATCTTTAAATGCACTAGGTACGTTGAAGCCTTTTGCAATAACCACAAGATCAGGATATATCTCCCCCTCATTCTTAGGGCATTCTTAGGCTCACATAGATATGTATGTGCTCGCTTTGCCCTGTAGAACCGATCCTGCCGCTGACAGACGATGCCCAAGTGCTGGTTGTTTAATACCATGATCTTTACAGAGAGTTTCTCTATAAAGATCATTTCCAACTCCTGTACAGTAATAAGAAAGCTTCCATCTCCATCAATATCCACGACAGTAACACCAGGATTTCTAACTGCAGCACCAGCTGCACGTGGAAGTCCAAAACCCTTAGCTCCCAAACCAACTGAAGACAGCCATTGGCGAGGCTCCTGGTAAGTATATACTGTGCAGCCCACATTAAGTACTGACCAACACCAGTGCTTATGATCCCCTCACCATGTGCAGCTCATCCACATCTGGATTGCATACTCCGGAGGAATCACCTCCCCAACTACCCTGTAGTTCAAAGGATAGTTCTTCAGCTGATCCAGCTCCTCCCTCCATGATAAAAATTGGAGTTTTTACCAGACTGTCTCCGCAATCAAATAACTCACCCCTTCCAAAGCCACTTCAAATCAGCACAAATTGACAAATACGGCAACTTGTTCCTTCCAATCTCAGCTGGGTCAATATCTGTGTGCACAATCTTCGCCCAACTAGCAAAATCTTCCAACTTTACGGCGACCATGCCATCAAACCTCACCCCTAATGCAAGAAGTTCGCACTTATCCACAGCGTAGATGGCGAAAACCGTGTCCAGCATGCCCAGCATCTTAAGCGAAAACTCTTCGTCCATAGGGCATCAAGGCTCATCAGAGTGCAGGCCACAGGATTCCTCGTCAGCTCTGGGCCTGAATAATTGTACCCTCGCCCAACGTAAAGCGCAGGACCACGATGTGCGGACAAAAAGCACAACCCCTGCTCGATGAAATGCCGGTTTGCTGGCTAAGGGAATCAATATGCATTGAAGACTCATTGGGGAGCCAACGATCCGACCTAAATCGGAACCCGGTATTACTATGTTCTGGTATTACTAGGTATTGCTCGGTATTGATAGGCATTGCTCAGTATTGCTTGACAATAACGAGAAATACCGTTCTGTCAAGACCAATACTGAGCAATACCTAGCAAAACAGGGGTATTGCTCGCTATTATTTGGTATTGCTAGGTATTTGTCTTGACATAATGGTATTTCTCGTTACCGAGTAATACGAGCAATACCGAGCAACACCTAGCAATATCCCTGTCTGCACAAATCGGCCAATACATAGCAATATCGGGTCCGGGTCCAGGTCGTGTCGTCGGGCCGCGCGGTAAAGAGTAAGAGCACATGACACGATTTTACTGATGTTCAAACGTGAAGCTACGTCAGGACACTGGACCTAATAAAAATTTCATGAGGGGACAACCAGTTCTTGCTCATGTCTTCAGGAATGTCGACGAGAACAGAACCACCGGAGGCAGCTAAAAGAATGCGTCATCCACTTCAAGGATGCGGACCTGTGCAGTTTCCTTCCATGAGGATCTCATCTTAATAATTTATAAATATAAATTTATGATATAAATTAAATATATAATTTGTGCATGTAAATCATATTTAAATATATAATATAAATTAATAATAATTTATTTTAAATTTATAAATTTATATACAAGCTATTTTTTATTAAAATTAAATTAAATTTAAAGATTGAGCATATTTAAATTAAAAATTACATAAGATATTATTAATGTATGAATTCAATTTACTTTTTAATCAAAAATTTATGTTATTACATAATTATTCTGTCATTTAAATTTTATTTAAATTTTATTTATATAATTTTCATAATTATTATGTCATCCGGTTCAATCCCGATTCGACCCCGATCGAACCATTAAATTCTAAATCATTCCTTCTTCCAGTTCTATACCTCATTTTCACAATCTTGCAAAGACTCCAATCATGCATAAAAATAATATATAAATATCTAATAAACTCAAACATAATAGCTTATAATTCACATACAAAATGAATAAGAAGAAGCTGTTTTGAATGTTATTGTTCTAATGTCCCAAAAAAAAAATGTTATTGTTCTCAAGGTAGTCTACTTACTTACTAGATAATTTGTTATCATATAATAACATCAGTAAATCTTTAACCACTACATGAATTGAACTATATGAATTCTTTTTCATATAAGATAAGCTCAATTAGTTTATTATGAATAGTATTTAGGAGTTGGTGTCTAGACTCACAAAACATAGTGTGTAGTTTTAAGGAATAAACCAAATTATTATGGTGTGGTGAATAGGAATAAAAGTTAAATATTAGTTTCTAAAAGTTTCTAAAGTAATTTACATAGTAGATAATAAGGTTATTTGGAATAACCTTATTATTCCAAATAATAGCTCAAGTTTGCTTGAGCTTCCATCCTCTGGTTTGTTTTACACCTGGTAAAATCAAAGAGCTGATGACCCAATTCATATTAAACTGGATAGAGCTTTAGTTAATTCAGCTTGGTTGGAGTTGTTTCCTAACTCCTTTTATAAAGTGGAACCCCCCTCATGCTCTAATCACTCCCCTCTGGTGCTACTTCCAGGACACAATTGTAAAGCTTCTGTTAGATTCCAATTTAAGAATTATTTAGTTAACATGAATGATTTCTGAGAAGGCTTAATCTCGATTTTTGCTACTTAAAATTCTGGAAGCCCTATTTCTGCACTTTATTCTAAGCTTCATGGTTTAAAAGATTTTCTCAAACGGAAGAATTGGTCTAATTCTTCCTTCCTTACCAGCAGAATTAATGAGCTTAACGTTGCCCAAAGTCTTTGTATTGCTCAGATTCAAGATAAGCTTCTTGACCTCAACCTTAATGCTTATTTGAAAAATATCAACATCTCTCTTGCCTCTCTTCAAAAGGCTTGGAGCTTATGGGTGATTCAACGTGCCAAAGCAACTGGCTTTCAAGAGTTGAAGATGATTTGGGGTTCCTTTATGCTAGGATTAAATCTAGAAATTCTTACAGCCGTATCAATGAGCTCCACACTGATGATGGTCATTTTACTTTATGAGGATATTGCTAAGGGTACTGTACTCTATTTTTAAAAGCTATACAACTCTCTTAAGCCTAACAATTCCAGGTTGAGGCCTCTCCCTATTGGCTCCACTATTCCTCCTCATCTAATTGCTCCCCTCACTTGCCTGGTCACTGATTTGGATTATAAGGGAGTTGTGTTTGCTGGTTCTTCGGCCTGATGGATTTACTTTTGAGTTTTATAAAGCTACTTGGGACATTATTGGGAGCCATGTTTGCAAAGCGATAAAATATTCTTTCTCCTCTGGGATCCTTCCCAAAAGTGCTAAAGCAACTGCCATTGCTTTAATCCCTAAGGGGACTCATGCCTTTGGTATATCGGATTACCGGCCTATATCCCTTTACAATGTATTTTATAAGATTATTGCCAAAGTTCTTGTAAATCGTATGAAGGAGGTCATGCATTTTATCATTCATAAACGCCAAGTTTATTTTATCAAACAAAGAATCTCCACTGATAACATTGTGCATGCCTCTGCAATTCTTAATGAATTTAATTGCAATGCTAGAGAGAAATTTTTCTGTGCCAAACTGGACATCCGCAAAGCTTTTGACACTATCTCCTGGGAGTTCCTTTTAAATTGGCTTATTGATAAAGGCTTCCCTCCTCAGTTTGTTAGATGGATTAAGGGATGTATTGAAGATGTTTTCTTCTCAGTTTGTATTAACGGGGGACTTGAGGGATTCTTCCATTCTTCTTCTGGCCTTAGGCAAGGCTACCCTTTATCCCCTTTGCTATTCTTTATGGTGATGGATGCTTTCTCTTGTGGGATCAATGACAATAATTTCTCTGGAATTTCTTATGGTGGTTCCTTTGTGAATCATCTTTTTTATGTTGATGACATTTTAGTGTTTGGGAAAGCTTCTATTCCAAATGCTGGTTCTCTTAATAATTATTTATTCTCTTTTATTGAGCATTCTGGATTGCTGGTTAATAAAGCTAAATGTTCCATTATGTTCTCCCACAACCCCTCCTGCTAGGGATATTATCTCCTTGCTTGGCTTCACCCTAACCGATAATACTTTAACTTATCTTTGTATTGGGACCCTTGGTGTGATAGTTCTCCTGTTTCATACTTTATTCAGCCCTCTCTGGTTGTAGGGATGACGGTTAGTGATGTTATTTATGAGGGGGCCTGGTCTCTTCCTACACAATTTGGCCAGTATGTGATGGATCATATTTCTTCTATCCCTATTTTGCAACAACTGCATCATATTATTACTTGGACTGGAACTGATAAACCGTGCTTCAAGACATTTCACATGTAGTTTTACTCAGATTTTAATGAAGTCTCGTGGCTCAATTTTGTGTGGCATAAACGATATGCTTTAAGATACTCCTCTTTTGTTTGGTTGGCTTTGCTTGGTGGCCTCAAAATGGCTGACGTTCTTACTAAAAGAAACATCTTAATTCCCTTTTTATGCCCCTTATGCAGGACCGAGGATGAAAGTATTGGCCACTGTTTCTTCCAGTGTGATTATACGTTTATGGTTATTTCAACCCTTCTTCCGTCTCTCCATAATTTTTTGCTTCGACCAACTCTGCTTTCAGGTTTTTGAATTTTTTGAGGGAAATCAGCAATTGCAAGCTTATGAGAAGAATTTTTATTACTTTGTGATATGCTGCTCTGTTTATTTCCTTTGGCGGGATCGTAACGAAAGGCGGTTTGTGGATTCTGAAATTTCTGTTTATTCCTCTATTAGGAAGATTACTCATGCTATTCATGCTAAACCCACTTCTTGGAAAATTTTTGATTTGCTTAAGGATTATTTTCCTTCTTGCTTCACGGGCTGACAAGTTTTTGTTGCTCTTCTCGATTTGC